CACACACACACACACACACACACACACACACACACACACACACACACACACACACAGTGGTTTTAGAATAACTGCATATGTTTGTTAAAATACAGTCCTTATGTAGGATAACAACTTACTTTGCATGTTTACCATAAAAAAAGATTCAACTTTGTTTTTTAAGTGCTACAAAGTTGTGAGGCACAGGTGGGTCACAGAGTCCACTCAGATATAAAATGCTTCTGTGAACAGAGATGGGGGGCAAGAACGGTCAAGATTCTCACAGCTTCACAGCTTGAGGTATGAACCTGTTGAGGAACCGCAAGGTTTTTGGTTTTGGTTCATCTTCTATATCTTATCCCTGATGGTAGGAAGGAAAACAGGCTTTAATAAGGGTGCGAGGGTGTCCTGGATGATGATGGAAGCCCTGCAGATGTAGTGGTGGTTAAAGATCTCCAGCATGGGAGAGAGGGTGGCAACAATGATCTTTGCTGTTCTCATGAGACTGTCTAGATATTTCTTTTCAGACATTGTAATGCTTTCAAACCACACAGCATTTGAGTTGAGAGTAACAACCTTTCTCATTAAACTGGGAACAGGATCCATGATGATCAAAGTCGATGGTCTTCTGGGCTGTGTCATCATCAGCACAGCATAGAAGGTCCTCGGCTGTGCACTCCTGTCCTTACAGGAGCTCTGTAACAGCAAAGCCCACAGTATCCTGAAGGGAACATCCCACGCAGCACATCCCCTGTTTCAGCTCATGAAGGCAGTACAAGACCATAAAAGCCAAAACAGTCAGACTGAAAAAAAGCACACATTCCACGGTTGGTGCAACTATAAATAAAATTATAAAATAACTGAATACAATAAGTAAACAATGGTATGTCCCCTTTCACTAAACCGTTCAATATCGGGCTAATAGCTTATATTAACTTCAAAAATCCAAGTGCATTAGTAAAATGCTCCTGATTAAGAACGACTTCCAAGAATATTATAGCATATTTGAGACTTTTGAAAGTTTAAAATTGGGGTGTTTATCAGCAAAAGTCTTGCAACTACCAGTCTGAATATTAAATCCAAATGAACAGAAAAGTAAACGTTTGTAAGGTAAGAATTGTTAAATTATTAATTATCCTTTATTTAGTGTAAACTAAAATGTTTTCTTCAAACAGTAAGTCCAGCAATGTTCAAGTAAATGTAACTAGGGGAGAAAACCATGAAGTACTTATGTACTAGTACTAATGCATGTCATGTGGTAATTTAAGGCAGTTTTTTAACTGGTTGCTGAACTTCATTTGTTTTCAAGCGTTTAAAAATCAATAAATCAAATGAATGGATCTGTAAGGTTTTTAATGTGCGACCGAACAGTGAACTAAGCGTATTTCGGATATTTAGCGGCATTCAGTAGCCATTGTGCCGCTAAATATGGCGCTATTCAACAGCTGAAAGTGCAGCTCTGTGTAAGTACTATGATAATAACACGTTGCACTTTACATCACGTTGATGTAAAAGCCCTATCTTCCCTCCGTAGTCCCCTTCATAGGGCTCTTGTGCGCATGTCCTCCAGGCTCAGATGTCAGACACTCAGGGGGCTCATTGCCTTCCTCCTCCTCCTCCTCCGCCTCTTCGGAAACGGGATGTGATGTAAATACACAGAAACTTTTTTTCTGTCCCTCTCTCCTTGGTGTATGTCTTCTTCTTTCAACAAACTGCTGCGTTAAAAGTAGAATAAGAGCAAAAGAAGTAAAGTAAAAAGTCGCGTAAGTGAAGCATCCGGGAGGTAAAGCCACCGTTAGTTTTGTCCACCATGATCCTGTGAGCTCCTACGTCTGTCTCCGACAACAAACTCAAGAGGAGCCGGACTGCACTCCGAGAAAAACGAATCGAAGCGGAGAGAGGCTCGCTGCTGGTGTGGACCCGGAGGGAAACTGCGGACAGGTAAAACAGCTGACACTTTCTGTGGGTTTGAAAGGACTGAGAGCGGAGGATCCACGCTGCGGGAAAACTCGTGATGATGAAAGTGCATGATGGTAACAGGGCAGAAATCAGATTCTTTATATTGAGGCCTAGATGAGATGGGACATATCTCTGTTGTATTGAGAAAGATGCAGGAAAAATAATCAAGACATGATGCAACCAGCTGCAAATAGATATTTACTAATTGACCTACTAATCCTACCGTCCGAACAAGAGACATGTCAGAAAACAAAGGTGTGATTAGGTTTACAGAGAGGAGGAGTTTGAAAATTCTGGGAATACTGTAGAAAAATGTGCAGGAAATAAAATAGTCAGTGAATTACTATTAATCTTTTAGGACATAAAGGCAAAACTAAACTGTTTAACGTAAAACTTGAAGATGAAAAGTACGATATTGAAAAAGCCCACAAGGTTAGATGTTTTAGTTCAGTTGGTCATGATGTGTTTCAAGTTTCAAGGTATAGAAATGTTTTTTTTCCCTAAAAGAGAAGGTGATAGAAGTATAGTTCTGTCCTGTTTCACAATCATCCCTCTTCCAGATTATGTTTAACATCATGCGCTGTAGGGGTGCTCGATTGTTGTCTTCTGATTTGGTTAGATACTTATTCATTACATCTTTTTATGTTGTTGCGTTTTCAAATATTCCCTATGATTTGACAATAGGTTGCTTCACACAGACTGAAGGAGTTTTAACCTGGATGATGACTGATGACTTCTTTAGTGATAGCTTTTTTTTAAACAAACTGACCAACTTCATGGCTCACTTGTAGATTCGTGTTTGGACCTCATCTGGTTCTAGATGTTTATAAATTGTACTAGCACACTCTATAGGGGTGAGGGGACCCCAGGGTTAAAATATGTTACTGGTCTAATGTGAAATACCAACCAGTGGTGCAAACGACTTGATGATAGTGAAAAAAATACTAAAAACCTTTTGGCACCAGCCTCCCTGCAGCACCGGTTAACGACTCCTTACCCTTCAGTGAAGTAAATGGTAAAGTTCTATAGGCTGTTGATGGGGATGCACAATTTGTGTTGAATGAAATAAAGTATTGCAGGATGCAGACAAGTGCAGAACAGCTCGCTGTGCATTAGTTTGTGTTTGTATTTCTGTTGATAATATATATGCAGATGCATTACTGAGCTAGAAAAGTCCTTTAATGGCAGAAGCTGTGAAGCCTTTTAAAGGAACAATGTGTAACAGGTTTAGCACCAAAGTGAAAAGTTAATCAAAGCCAGGTATTTACACCAAAGTGAGCATAAATCACAGAGCTTAAATAGAGGAGTAAATGAGGTCTTCTGTATATTTTACTGTGAACTGCTGTGGTTATGTTGTTATCGTGTAAAGAGAGAGCTCATTATCATGTTTGTGTGCAAAGACATTGCATGTGTTTGCAGTTTACAGTAAGTTAATGTCACCAGTCAGACAGCAGACAGGTACTGTTGCCGTTTAATTTAGAACAGCTTGTTAACTGCTTCAAGTGAGCACACATAGGATTTGCCAATCAGAGAGCAGGATTTTCGGTTGCATTGTGAGAGTCCTGCATGCAGAGGTGCGTCTACAGAACTTTGGTGTAAAAGTTTTTAGTCTGCTGTGTTATTGTAAGCTTTGCATGTACAGTGTATTTGCATGCAGGTCCATGTGTGCGTGCTGCTGCTGACCTCTTCACCTGCAGTGGGATCATGTTTGGTTTATTTTCATGTTCAGCACTGAGTCAGCTCACGTTACAAGGATGAACTTATGGCTCACAGCAGCAGACCTTGAAGTGCAAACCCCAGTACGTTTGTTTTCCGTATCGCTATGATCATCATCAAACCTTATTTCATCTGTGGCTCAAAAGTAAATATATGCAAAAGCAGAATGCAAACACAAATGAACAAATATGACCAAAAACATGCAGGTTGTGGACAAAAATGATGATGATACTACATTTACCAAGTATTTTTGCCACTTAATGTTGAAAATTAATAAATCAAGGTCATGGTGTTCTTATTTACTGCGCTGTTATCTTATTCCTTTAACCAGGAAGAGGTTTTAATATTAAGAATCATGTTTTGTGGATGTGTTACTGGCTCACACAGGCAGCATTAACCTAACATGTTTTTCAATGGCAGTAGGGCAGGAGAAACTGGCGCTTCCAGAGAAAACCACAGGAAGAACATGCATACTGCCCACTCAAAGGCCCTGCCCAGGTTGGTTTGAACCCAGGACCCTGTTGCTGTCAGGCGACAGTCTTAAACACTGAGCCAGTGGTGCCAGTCTCAGCACAGTGGTCAAAAGTCTTCTTGAACAATATTGACACAGTTGTAATGGAAAAAACATGGTTTCCACATCAGTTATGGCTGTAACTTTTTTCCTTTCAAATTTTTAAGTTGTTAACAGCTCTCTTTTACTCATCTGACACATATTTTATATGTTCCCTGCCTGTAAATAATTCCAGGCTTTCATAATATCTAAGCTGTGTTATTGCCGGGGATGTGTTAGTATCTAAACTTAAGAAAGAGACATTTGAGGGTTTAGCAAAAGAACATCTGTTGACAGTTTAGTTTGATGTAGATTTAGAAATTCGATAAGCGTGAGCTTTAGATGCATTTCCCCAACAGCCGATGTTTGGAATAATAAGAGAGTACAGAATACAAGAAAGAGGAGAGCGGTGCAAGGCTGAAAATCCCCTCCACACCATGCATGAACCGAGTCCAGAAGGATCTGGAGGTAGTTTATGAGATTTTCTTGAGCTCATCAAGATGATGTGTCCCAGTTTTTTGTTTTTGTTTTTTCAGTTTGATTTGTCCCGTTATTAAATTTGCTTTATCTCTCAGTAGTAAAGGAACTTTTCAAAAATGTGTAGATCTGGAACAAGTCCAAAAGTTAATCTGCCCTAAGCTGGGCCAAACCCCACCTCTGCAGAAGAAGAAGAAAGAAATCCATCCATGACTTTTTGAGTAATCCTTCTAACAAACAGGCAAGTAAAAACCTATAAACCTATAGCACCAACCTACTTTGTAGTGGAAAAATATAGCTGTTCAGCTCACAGACACATTGCACAAGTTTCCAAAATTAGTGTCAAAATATTAATGAAGCAACTTTTTCTTTGCATTTTTTTAGGTACACTGATGCTAAAGTCCTAAAATACAGACTATTTATCGATGCCTTCATTTACTGATACTAACTAAACTTTCTATTGTCTGAAATATTCTGCTGAAAAGCTCTCGAAAGGGAGCAAAGTCATAAAATCGGACTCCCTTTAAAAGTCCCCAAATCAGTGTAATGATCAGCAAACCAACAAATAACCAGCAAACTGCAAAGAAGGTGACCACAAACCTTTGACACTAACGTTTAATACACAGCTTGGTTAGTTATGGTACTTAAAGCAAAACTCACTTCATCAGCCTGACTTACAACAAATGTTATAAATTATACAGGCTTAAGTTGAGCCCACTGTGAGAAAGGGATTTAAATACTGCCAGTTTGTGAATATCTATGACTAACAGTAAATAATACAAGTGGTTTATTTGGAAACTACTTATCGACCAACAATGTGACGCAGTCTCTGCTTCCAGCTTCTCTAATGAGAGAACGTGCTGTTTAGATTACAGTGAACTGATATTTTAGGACACTTAGACACAAATGGAGACATTGTTTTCTGACATTTTGTAGATAAAGCGATTTCTCTAAAAAGTAATTAACAGTGAGAAGTACCCCACCCCCAAACAAAGAACAACGTTATTTCTATCAGTCTGGAGTTGAGTCAGTGACTATCCGACCCCTGCAGGTATTTAAGTGGCTTCATGTTTATGACGTGAGATGGTAAAAATTTCATTTGTTGTTTCTTGAGGAGACTCTGAGAGCAGCCTGGAGCTACATGGAGAGAGTGATTGCACAAGAGCAGGAGCTCAGTGTTTGGCTCACACTGTGAGAGCTGACACCTCAGCTCACTCACAAAGAAAAGCAATGAAAGACGCTTCACTCTGCTCAACTTGATGATTCTTATACCAACTGTGCAGTATATTACTCTTATTAAAGAAGTATAGGTCATGTTTGAGTGTAGCAGCAGCCGAGAATATAACAAGCAGGATCCGATCTTGCACTGCTACTGCTGTCATCATAAGCTCATGATGCCTAAACCTTCACCTTAAATCACATGATACTGAGGTGATTCTTGGGGAGGTGGAAAAAAAGTCAACTGAGACAAAGACCTGCAAAAGTTTTGTAGTCTCCACATGTAAAACTTTATTAACTCTGTTAACTGGGAAAATATTTGGCGAGAGCCCCATTTCTCAAGAAATATTGATGTTGTGGCGTTCTTCACCGATTTAGATTTCTTTTCTAGCAGAAAGGACTCTGCAAATGTTACACTGGCCACGTTCTTTGTGACAGTCAAGTAACAGATAGCAATGTAACCTGGTGCCTCTCCAGTGAGTCTCTCCAACTCCTCCGTCTTGTACTACAGCTGGCGACAGTCTCGGTTTTGCTCTGCAATCTTGGTGAGCTTGGCATAGAGGCATGTCTGTGCAGTGAGACCGTGGCTAGTTGTTTACCAGCAGCTGAACTTTCAAACTTATTTGTTCTCCCTTTGTATACAAAGAAACTGCTTAAATTAGTTGCCAAGTATACTTGGGTGGCTGTTAATATAGTGAAGTGTGGGAAAACACTGAGGGAGCATTGATGCAGAAGTCTGTACCTTAGCTCTGTGTAAAACTGTGACAAAAGTCAAATCTAATTGTTTACAGGAAGAAACTGTTTCTTGGGTGTCAAAAAACCCCACCAAAGACAAGCTCATCTTATGAGCGCAATAGTAAACTAACCTTCATTATTCTTTGCTCCATTGTGAGTCAACAAAGGGCACCAAAAAAGAGGAAAAAAGGTATGAAAATGCAGATATTTCCCTTGTACAGAGCCTTGGTACAAAGTAAAGATCTTACATTGGTTTGCATTGTTTGAGTGATGAAACCTTGTGTTT